GGGGGGGGAAGAACGGCGCGTGGGGGGGGAAGATCGAAAGTCGGGGAGGGGAGGTTGCGCGGGAGCGGGATCGGAGTTGCGATGACGATGACGACGACGAAGAAGAAGAAGAAGATAAGAAGAAAAGAACGAAGAGAAAGAAGAAGAAGATAATAATTGGAAGAAGAAGAAGAAAAAGAAAAAAAAAGAAAATTGTCGTCGATTACTTATCTGTGCGGAGGTAGCAATGACGATGATGAGGATGGCACGGCGCGACGACGAGGACGACGGGCACGGCGATGGCGACGTGGCGCGACGACGACGATCAGGATGGTGACGATGATGACGTGGCATGACGGTGACGATTGTGACGATGACGATGATGACGTGGCACGACTGCGACGATCACGACGATGACGTGGCACTACAACGACGATCACGACGATGATGCTGATGATGGCCAGGTGGTGACAACGAAGCAGGGTGGACCAGGCGGGTTCGAACCGCTCCGATACCAAGGCTGAGGGAGAGCCGAGGGAGAGGAGAGAGAAAGGGAGAAAGTGAGAGCACACACACACACTCACTCACTCGACACGACTGAGGGTCGGACGCAGACACAGTCGCAAGGCACAAAGTCGAAGTCTTGGATTCCGAATGCCGAAACAGCAAGTCACACTGAGTACGAGTACAGCAGCACAAACTGGTACGAGACTGGTCCCGTACCGTACGGGGAGCCGGTATAAGTACCGGTGACACGTACGGTACCAGGGACATTTCTGCAAAAGCCCCGAGGGCAGAACTGAAAAATGCGGCATTTGAAAGTGGCGCCCGAATTGCAGCATGGCACCAGTTGTCCAAAATCTGACAGTACCAAAGGAGGGGTTTGGAAAAAGGGTGCCAGGGCAAAAACGGGATGCAGCAGAAACAGCAAAAAGTAGACCAGGGATCGATCCCTGGCGGAGTCCGTAACAGTGGCATTGTCTTTCATTGTGAATTTGCACTTTGGGAATGACCAGGATCGTAACAAGTGAATTGAAACGCGACAAACACATTCAGCAGGAGCAGGAGATGGGGTGTGTTTTACCGGGACCTGTTTCAACTATTGATACTGATCGTGCGCTCAAGGCCCCCAGAAAACTACAGGTGCTCTTCTCGTTCGTATTGTCATGTTCGCCTTAATTAGGGAGGGGGATGCGACAGATCGTAATGGCGTAATGTCTCCTAACACCAGTGCACTTATGATCTTTCCGTTTGTGTCTTATTTTTCTTCCGTGCAGCAATTTTTCTGGTCGGGAGCATGCCCTCTGTATCTCCCGTTATGTTATGCTTGCACACTCCTTGTCCCCCATCCCTCGGCTATCGAGAGGAAGCAGAAAGTACAGATGAAAATGAACCCCCTTTTTTTAAGGAGGATATTTATCTGTGTCATGCACGTATAAGACACATGGATGTCTACTTAAACGGGGCCTCCGGTGAGAATATGTTGTGTGTTGCCATGTTCAATGTCATAGACAATTTCACTAAAACATTGGGCAGGGGACTGTGCCAGACCATTTCGCCCAACTTCAGCGACTCATCAGGACGTTGAATCTCGACAGTCTGTTCAGGATCCAGTTGGGTGAGGGATGGACCTATCACGTCATGACATCCCTCAGGAAACTGAGGAAAGTGGTCGACTTTACTGACACGAACACTGCAATGCCATGTGTGTGTGTTTGTGTGTGTGTGTGTGTGTGTGTGTGTGTTTGTGTGTGTGTGTGGATAAGCACGTCCATTTGCATAGTCAACTGAGTCAAGCGACTCCCGCATGAATTCAATGATGACGTCGCACATTTGTGGAGTTGTTCATCCAGCGGTTTGTGATGAAGATTGAGGTGTCGATGGATCTTTGCGATTCAAGTGATGATCATCTGCACAAGTACAAGCTCTGCTCTGCTGTTGACCATGCAATTCTGGTGGTGCTGATGTGCGCAGGCAGGCGATGACAAGCGCCGGCCTCCAATTTGCAATGTCCTTGTCTGCATTTCCGCTGCAGTATACATGACCAACATTTCTGCCCAGCCTGCTGTGTCCCAGTGGCTTCCCCACTAACCCTACGGCCCTGCGACAAACGATGACCTCCACTCTTTTGCCTTGCAGCAGTGGGATCGGCGGCGAGGTGTTAGCGCCTGCCTTCATCAACAATCTGCGGAACGGGGGGACGGGTACTGCAGGGGACAAAGGATGCCAGTGTTGTAGGTCCAGTGGCGTTTTGTGACACACTCCTTCGCCTCGATCCCCCAAGGACATCGTCACAGTCGCCACCAGTATGTCGTGCACACCTTCCCCCTGCGACAACGCCACCGCTGCTGCCGCCACCGCCACCACCGATATCAGCGGGGACTTCTTTCACAGCTCCTGGGCAGGGATTCCGGCTTCCGTCGGCCTGTTTGCCTCGTCCCTTGCCACCAGTCGGTCGATCCGGCGCTACGGCGCCATCATCACCTCAGCTGGACAATCTCGAGGCAGCAGAGGACCCGTCGTGGTCTGGAACGGGGCTTCTGTGGACAGAAACGAAACGAGATCCTACTTCGGTCTTTCGGGCGGAAGAAAGCGGGTTGGTTCAGGAGAGAGGATGATGATGGTTGCAACGCTTTGTGCATCATGCAGGTGGACTTGTTTGCCATCTGATGCCATCGGAGGCGGAGTTGCTGCGGGTTGGGGGAGAGTGTCTGCTACAACTAGACGCCAGAAGTGCAGCAGCAGGCAGCTGAGACGTACGACAGCTGATGTGGCGTCAGCTTCGCTGGCGGTGCTGCGTGGTCTGGACGATGTGTTAGCTCGCCGTGATTGCATAAGGTGGCATCAGAAGGAGTGGGATGTATTCTGCATTCCTCGAGAGAATGCTCTCTTCTGTTTCGATGTCTTTAGGGTCCGGCGACCTCGACGAAGAACATCTAATATTGGAGGAGCCCTAAGCGACGGCGGCGGTGCTGGTGTTCAAAGGCGAGGTTCCTTGAGGTTGAATGGCGGGGGCGATGGGAAGGCTATAACGTTGGCAGACTATTATGTGATGACTGGTAGGGAAGTAGAGGAGGTCCAGGAAGAACGGGAAAGGCCGCTGGAAAGTAATGGCGAGGTGCAAGTTGCGGAGAAGGGGAAAAGAAGCCGCAGACGGAGGAAGAGCAGGACGAAGGATGCTGATGACAACGAAGGATTGCCGAATGGGCAACAGGGTGGTGCTTTGACCGAGGAGGGAGGCACCAGCAAACGGTGGATGGGAGAGGGAGGTGGAAATCAACTGACAGACAGAGAAGAGGCTGGTGCTGGCGAGGCGGAGATGGTGGAAATGGGGGAGAATGACGTTGCAGTCAGCCAGAGTGAGAACGAGATGATCCAGTTGGAGACGCGTGGGCGGCGCCGGAAAGATCGGTCACTGATGCTGTCAGGAGGATCTTTTGTGGAGGTCGAGGCTGCTGAAGAGGAGGACGGGCGATCATCTGAGCAAGAAATGGAACCTGCAAGTAGTGGCGAGGGCAGGACGGAGCTGCTGGGGGAAACGTTGGCATTGCGCCCCTCGCGAAAGGGACGAGGAGGGGGAAAGAAAGCCCAAGGGCACACTGAAGGGGACTCTGTCACGGGGGGCTCTTTGGGGCTAGATTGTGGGTATCCTCCCGACTTTGATTCGTCCTCATCGTCCCTTGGAGGGGGAGGTGGGACAGAAGATGTCTGTGGCGAAAAGAAGAGGAAGAGGAGGAGAAGAAGGAAGAAAAGGAGTTCGGCGATCCTCCAAGAGGCTTGTGGTGCTGATGTGGTGGCACCCGACACGGATCTTGGGGAGAGAAACCCGATGACGGAGGGTGAAAACCCACAGATTTTGCAGGAGCCGCCCTCAGGCCATGGGGGGAAGCTGAACGTTAGTCGCAGGAAAGGTCGACCAAGAAAGCTGGACACATTGCGAGAGCTTTCCGGCGAGATTGGTATGGAAGGTGACAGTGTCCAGTGGTTGCTGAACCAACATGCGGAGTCCAGGGGGATGATGGAGAGGCCCGAGAAAAAGAAAGAGGATGTTGAGCGAGAGGGAGAGGAACACGGAGAGGACGATTCGTCCCTAACTCTTGAGAACAGTGGGTGGAAGGGGAGAACAGGAAAGGCCTCAGAAATTAGGCAACCAGGTGAACAACAGGGGTGTGCAGCCTCGGGGGGGGCTGACGCGAATGACGAAGCTGGCAAATTCCATGTGGAAATGGATGAGCAGCAACATGCTCGGGAGAATGTGGGGACGCAAAGAAGGAGACGTGGGAGGAGGAGAAGTGCATGGCTGGAGGAGGAGGAGGAGGAGAAGGTGGTAGACGTAGTGATCAAAGAGCAGGGTCAAACCGGAAGGGTTGAGGAGCCGAGCGAGATGGCGAGTGACAGTAGTATGTGGAGGAGAGAGCAAACAGAGCAGGAGACGGGGCAATGGAAGACAGAGGTGGTTTCATCGGTGTACGGTCGCTTGGACGCGCTCACGGAGGACGAGACGGGGAAGGGGGAGGTACTGAGTCTGAGGAAAAGAAGGTCCAGGGGTGGAGCTAGGAAATGTGAGCGTGCAGCTGGGGAAGAATTGGATGAGAACCCTGCTGTGGATGTGGACGGGGAGGTTCACACGGGGATGGCTAGCGATGGCGAGAGGATGATGCTAGCGCACCAGAAGAACAAGAGGAGGGGAAGGAGGAGCAGGAATGAAAATGATGGAGAACGAAGCGGGATCGCCATGGATGGGGGAAAAGAGGAGAGCGAGGGGGCCAGTGGAGAGACGAAAGATGCAGACGCTTCCGCTGGAGAAATGCGCGAGGTGGTGAGATCAGACGTGCGAGAGGTAGGAGCTGGTAGCGGAGAGAAACAGATGCAAGACGGAGTGCCGGTGGAAGCGACGATCACTCGAGAAAAGAAGAGCGGGAGGAGAAGGAGAGGAAGACGGAGAAGGCATGAAAAGCCGTTTCCCACGTTTCCGGAGCCTTTTGAAGAAAGTCTAACTCTATTGACTGTGCAGCAAAAAGTGGGGGGAAGAAAAGGAGGAGCTGCAGAAGGAGAAGAGAGAGGAGGAAGGGGGGCAGCAGGAGGTGCAACAGGGCATGCAGAAAACGGCTTGGTGAAGGTGCGGTGGATACTGCGTGGACCGTCCACATCAATGGTTAACAAGAGCATTTACCTATCCGGGAAAGGTGCCGCTCTTGGAGACTGGGACCCTTTGGCAGCGCTGCAGATGGAGGAAGTGCAGGATGGAGTCTGGGTAGCCGAAGCACAGGTGTGTTGGTTCTGTGAAGTTTGCCTCCCTTCAGAGAGACTTGAGAGAAAATACGGCAAAACAAAATTGGAATAATCTGCTCAGGTGTAACTGTTTTTGGACCGGAAAGAATAGTGGAGCTGATGATTCTTAAACCGAGCTTCGCTCCTGCACTTCACCGACCTTTCCCCATGCGTGATCTTGCTCAGGGAAACGCGAAGTTCGTGCTCTTCCCCCCCC